GTCAGTGTTCTTGCTCTAACAACGCTACCCTTTGCTCTTTTTATGTGTTTTGATGGATATTAAAATTACAAAACCAAGATAAGTTCACTGAAAACAAACAGAAGTCTATGGAGTAAAAAGTCAAAGTCCTCCCCTCTTTCCTGTCTAACCCACCACCCTGCCACGTCCACACTCCGACTCCACAGCCATAACCATTGTTAACGGTTTAATGTATCCCTACAGGCCTTTTTCTGTCAATGTGTGTGTACATGTATATGGACAAATATCCAATCATATTATATATACTGTTATATGACTTGTTCTTCTCACTTGACAATGTATAATACGTATCCTTCCATGTCAGTACATCCAAGTCTATATCATTCTTTTTAATGGCTGCCCCCTTTTAATTTGACAATCTTAATTAGCTGTGAATGGGAAAGCCAAATAATCAAGCTTATTAGAATTGTACCTAAGAAAGGATAAATCGGCTCTGAATGAAGGCTTGTGTAATTCTCCTAGGAGGGAAATGTGTTAACTTTAGTGCATGGACTTTGTAATGTTTATTTTGGCTATTCTGGGACACTTTTTGCTTATTTCCTGCTTCATTGTGTTTTGGAGAGCTGAGGTTGCTGGACATATGACCTGTGAATTAGTGAGGTATTACATATTCAATTTTACCCTATATAATTTTGCTATGGTTTTATCAGGGGTTTGCATTTAATTTTTTCATTTAGATTGCTGTTATAGACAGTGATTATTTGCTCTAGTTTCTAAGTACTTGCGTCATAGTGAGGACCCCTGCATGCGGTAGCAGCTAAAAATATTTGGCTTGCTGATTGAACAGTCCTTCTCATCTGTATCACCTACTTGTGAGAATGTGCACTGGATCTACGGGAACTCTGTAAGTTGATCTGAGGGAGCCTTTTACTACTGATGAACATTAAAGTGCTGACAGCCTCTTGTGCTATTAACAATAAAATCTTATTTAGGATTTACAGAGGGTCTTCCTTCTGCCTTCACTAAAGTGGCTAAATCCTGTTGATTCTACCTTTTAGATCTCACCTTAATGTGTCCCCTCCTCTCCACTCACTCTGCCCTGTACCTTGGTTCAGGCCCTACTATATCTCAACTGAATTACCTGTAATAGACTTTTAAATTGGCCTCCCTGCTTCCTTTCTAAGCTCCACATTTCCCACCCAACAACTAGTGCTTGTTTTAAAACAGAAATCCTACCCCGTCACACCCCTAAAACCCTCTAGGGGTTTCTCATCATCTGTAGGATAACATCCGCTTTCCTTAGCTTAGTATACAAAGCCTTTTGTGATTTGGCCCACTTCTCCTGCCTATCTCTTGCTGCTCAATGTTTTATACTTCAATTTCTAGGGAAATCAGTGGTTTATAATTCTTTTAATTGAGAACCACCCCAGCCAGTTCTCAATAAATGCTTGTTAAATGAATGAATGAAACACCTTATATAGCCAGGGTGACCATTCAACATGCTTGGCCCAGGATGGCCCTTGTTCACACTTGTCATCCCAGAACAATTAGTAAAAGTGTCCCTTTTTTGTCATTGAACTTATCTCAGTTAGATAAATAAATTCTATGGTCATCCTAATTATAGTGATCATGAAATTGATTTCTAACTCTTTCTTTGTCTCCTCTACTAGATGGTGAGCTCTTTGAGGATAGAAGTTTGTTCCATTTTAGATCCTCGTTTATTCATTCAACTAAGAGAGTGATGCTGTTAGGTGCTGAGAGTATGACGTAGAATACAACAAACATGGTTCTTGACTTCATGAAGTTTACAATCCAGAAGGAAAGAATAACCTAGTGGAAATAATAGAAGCTAACATGGTAAGTGCTGGTGTATGAGTGAATGGCTAAACATGGATTAGAAGCTCCTCAACAGGCCAGGCATAGTGGCTCACCCCTGTAATCCCAGCACTTTGGGAGGCTAAGGCGAGCGGATCAGTTGAGGTCAGGAGTTTGAGACCAGACTGGCCAACATGATGAAACCCTATTTCTACTAAAATACAAAAATTATCCAGGTGTGGAGGCATATGCCTGTAATCCCAGCTACTCAGGAGGTAGAGGTAGGAGAATCACTTGAACCCGGGAGGCAGAGGTTGCAGTGAGCTGAGATCACCCCACTGCACCCAGCCTGGGCGACAGAGTGAGAGACTATCTCAAAAAAAAAAAAAAAAAAAAAAAAAAAAAAAAAAAAAAAAGAATTCCTCAACAAACAACCCTGATACCATGACTTATAGAGACAGAAATAGTTGTACATGTGATCAAATTAATCATTTAGAGTTGCCAATTACAATTTTAAAATATAAATAGCACACATATACCTAAACATACTTAATATTTATATGCCACCTTAATGTTAAACATAAGTAAAAAGGACAATGAAATAGTAGCAAGAATGAGATTTTGAGTCTCATTTGTTTTAGACAATTTATAATCCTATGTGGTTCTCTGCAAGGTGGATTATCAGCGTGTACTCCATTCCTCCCCAACTCCCCACTTCCCCAGCTTTTTTGTTCCAGATGAGAAATCTGAGGTTTTAGACACAGAACCGCAAAACAAAGGAATGACTTCTAAAACCACGATTTGATTTTGGTTGAGCTTTGCTTTCAGAACTAGAACTACCTGCTATCCTAGACTTGTTAACCACGTTCCCATGGGCAAATTACAAAACCCTTTCAACCTCAGTCTCCTCTTCTATAAACTAGTGGTAATATTATCTCCAGAATTAATCTAAGGAGTAAATGAGATTATGTAAAGACATTTAGTCCCATAACCAGGCTCCTAGAAAGCACTCAGGAATGTTAGTTCTCTATCCATTTCCCCTATTTATTTGTCTGTGTTTGGTGAATTATACGATGATGTGAAATGATCAGAAAAGAACGAACTGTAATATAAACATCAATAAAACACCAATAAAAATTTTATTCCCACATCTGGATGCTAAACTAGGCCCTCTCCGCCTCCTCCAAAAGTTACAGTTTTATTAATATTCATTTATTATTATTTTATTATAGGCAAAGACCCAGAGAAACATTCCAGGAACAAAGCAGCAGGTAAGATTTTTCTGGAAAAAGGCAGAAATTATGAGGGAGCCAGGATTTGGGGGGTCATTTAAGCAGCAGTGGATATTAGTCTTCAAGCTTTGCCCATTTAGTCTTGATCCCTTTTGGTTCAGGAAAGGAAGAAGAGCAAGCACCAAACCATTCACTGAGACCTTTGCGGGTGGGGGAGGAGGGATGTAAACAAAAGCCAACGATCTCTTTAGTTCACAATGGCTCGTGACCCCAAGACTTCCAAGCTCTTTGGTGAGGGCCAGCAGGTCTGTTATCCAGGAGTGCCCTGGGTCTGGACTTCATTTCCCAGAGTCCCTTAGTCCCCTAATGTATTCAGTGCTCAGAGTGCCTGTATGTGTGTGAGTGTGAGAGAATGTGTGCGTGCGTGTGTGTGCGCGCGCGTGTGTGTGTCTCCGAGTCCCTGGGAGAGTGGAGGCTCATTCACTGATTAGAGTCAGCGCTGAGAGGCAGCACTGCTCCTTCTCTCACGCCAACCGAGTCTCTTGATCTGTACATGCAATCCCAGGCAGCTCGCGAACACAAACCCGGGGCCAGCCGCCTACTGCTGCTGCTGCCGCTGCCGCCGCCGCCGCCGCCACTGCCTCCGCCGGCTCTGCGCACCCGGGACTTTTCATGCACCACGCTCTCCGCCTGCTTCCCTCCGTGTCCTGAAAAGTGCGACCGTTCTCCCAAGGAATTTCCACGGCAAGTATGGAGATCAGAAAGGGGTGTGGACGTGTGTGCGTACCCAAGAGGGGTGGGTTCGAGGGCGGCCGGCTTGTTCAGGAACCTGGCTAACTTTCCGGGTCGGTTTCCTAGGGATTCGGGCGGTTCCCCCGGACAGGGGCAGGGGCTGGGACCGGGACTGGCGCGTCTTGGATCTTCGCGACGGAGCCTCTCGGCGTTGGTGCCCTGCGCGCTCCGTGCGCTGCCTCGCTCAAACTTTCCGTCTTGAGTTTTCCTTAATGTGTTTTATTTGGGGGGGGGAGGGAGGTGCAAAGGGGAGGGACCAGACGCGGGAATTGGACAAGTAGGGAGGGCGAGGGCACTGCAAGGGAAGGGAGCAGGACTTCTTTTCTCCATCTTTTAATAAGCCCCATTCCCACTTTGTTTGGGTCGTTCACGAGAATACCTTCTCGCCGGGCTCCCTGCTGCACCCCCCGGTGATTTCCGGGCTCCCCTGTGTACCCCGCGTGGATTTCCGGCGAGGCCGGGGCTGGGTGGTACTCAGTGGGGAGGCCGAGGCGGCGGGCGGGATGGAGAAGGGGCGACTGGAATGAGAAACGACCCCGACAGTCTCCACCCCACACTGCCGGCTCCGCCGGGTACCCGAGGAGTGACTGTTTAGCCCAGGGCCCGGGGTGCTGGGCTTTTTCCTAGCGGGGCGGGTGTAAAGGGTGTGGAGGGAGGGAGGTCGGGTAGGATAGGGGGATCCTCTGCGGGCAGGAAGGAGGCAGGTGCTAGCACTGAGGCAGACCGTTCTAAATGCCACGGGTAAACTCCCCGCTCCGCTGGGCTGGACCGGCCTGGCAGTAGAGCAGCCCGACACATGGGGTCTCCCGGGATTTTCGGGGTCGGGACCCCTCTCCCAGCGGTTCTACTGAGCCAGGCGGGAGGACGATCGTGGAGACTAGGGCGCGTTACTCTGTTTGTAGTTTTATTTTTAATCTTAGACCTGCCTTAAACTGAGTAACAATTTCTCTTCTGACTTGAGAACAAAACTTTTCAGCGAGCACGCAGGTCGCTGCGGTCCTGCGGCCACCGCCGCCGCGCTTGTCAGCCCGGGCGGAGCGACCTTCTCTGCCTGGAGCCCGGCCCCGCCACGGTGCTCCGGAGCCTCCAGCCTCCTCCACCCCACCCCCGCCCCCCAACCCGGGGCTTTTCAGGGCTCGGCCTGGGCGTTTCGCCTTTGTGCTTTGTAAGAGAACGCCTTTTCTTCCAGGGCACAACAAACTTGGGCGGAGAGCTTCCGTGTGGCCCCCCGGGCGAGGCCGCCCACGGTGGCGAGGCCATCCGAGGGGATGCCCGGTTCGTCCCCCGCTCCAGGAGCCTCTCCGAGAGCTCGCGCCCCGGGTAGACCCCAGCTGGCGAGGGCGCGCTGGAGTCCCGAAGTAGCGGGGACTAGGGCAGCCAGGAGGCAGGGGAAGAGATCTCACTTCCCATTAAGAACACGCTGCATTCTCGGGTCGTGGATGCGGCTCCCACGGAGAGCCGGTGTTCCGGTCCTGAGTGGGGCGCGCGTCGCACTGGGTGGGTGCGTGGGGCCCGGGCCATAGGTGTGGGGGGTGCATGGGGCCCCGGCCATAGGTGTTGGGGCTCAGCCCTGCCTGGCCGACCCGGGTCGTCCGAGGTCTTCCGCCTGCGCCGGCTCCCTGCCCCGGGAGCCGCTGAAGGGGAGAGCACGGCGCTCGCTGCCTGCGACGCCCAGCAGCCACGTCTTGCCTCTCGCCTCCGCTCCGGACTCGGCTTGAGGGGTAAAAGGGAGAGAAAGGAAAAATAAAGAGAAAAAAAGGGCGGGCAGTGAGGAAGCAGCGAAGGGACTGGAGGGAGCAGAGCGAGCAGGGGGCCTTCGCCTTGCCTGGCCTCCTCCTCTTTCCGTCTCGTGGGCTCTTCCTGCAAAGGGGAATGAGCAGAGGGGGGAAAGGCAGAAAGAGCGTCGAGGAAGAGCGCTGCTGGCGTCTTCCGTACCGATCCCTCCTGGCCCGCAGAGACCCGGCAAAAGTGGCGTGAGTTCGCTCGCTGCGCTTCGGAGCGAGATTGGGGAAGGCCGAGGACTGGGCGGCGCCCGCGGCCGGGCGCGGAGCTAGCGGGGACACACACCTGTTCTGCGAGCCGCGCCGTGTGCGCCAGAATCCTCCCTCCCGCACCCCGCTCCCGAAGCCCAGGAGCTGGGAGGGCCCGGTACCCCCGCGCGGGTTCGCGTTTGCAGGAGGACGGGAGTGGAGGAGCTCGCGGCTGCCGGCTGGAGCGGTGACGAGCGGCGGCGGGACCCGGGTGACCCTCGGGGCGGGGCTGCTTGGGGGCTGGAGGTCCTTAGACTTCGGTCGAAGGCTGGCAGCCCCGTGCCCCTGCCACGCGGGCCCCGTGCCGCTGCGGACCAGGGGCCCTTGCACGTGTCGGTTCTTCCCAGACTGGCGCCTTGGTTGCCCAAAAGTTAGGCGCAGATGGTTTCGTGGTTGGGACCTAGAGTATTCCATATACAAAGACAACCGAGAGCCGGAGGGAGAGGTCAGGCCAAAGAGTAGGGGGCTCGGCTCCGTGTTGGCCCCAAGTTTATGTAGGTTTCGCCTTCACCTCTTTTTCCCCCGTTTTCCCTAAAAGAGTTGGTTTTTCCCAGTCGAGACTTCCGAGCTGAATTCTGCACCCGCTCGCTAAGTCAGTATCCCAGCGATCCCGCACTCTCGAACTGGCCCGGGCTGTCTCGGATTCGCATCAGTTGGCCAAGCTGGGCCTGAATCTGGGTCCAAATCTGGGACCGATACCCGGCCATGTCTGAACCACAGCCGTCGGCCCTAGTCCGGGAACTGTGTTAGCCTTATGTTGCCTGAGTTCTCGCATCTGGTGGTAAAATTTCTGTTAGAGCGGTGTTTCCAAATACCCCCTGGGCATTTGGTGTGCGGGAATTCTCTTCAAGCGAAGAAGTCTGTGAACTTAAAAAAAAAAAAAATTCTTTCCTGCGTTCTTAACAACCCCCCGATACTCTGCCTCATTTCCCATTGTTCTTTGCTTTTTAAGTTCCCTGTTAATTTTTTAAAAGTTTATTTATGCAAAGGAAAAATATCGTTTAATTTGTTCTATTATTTTAATTCCTAGCTTTTGGAAACGGTTCAGAGACCACAAAAATGTCACCTGTTGTAATAAGCAGAGGAGTGTTGTGTGTGCATTTTAATTGCCAGCAGAGTAGTAGTTTGGTGGGCGCCCTGAGCTCGGCTCCGGGAAAGAGCCCTTTGCAGCTTTCTTTGTGGCAGTCATTTGCAAATGGGTTTCGCTCTCAGCTACGGGGGAGGCAGCGGCAGCAGCAGCAGCACCGCTTCCTTCTATGCCGATCTCGGGCGCGGGTCAGGAAGCCCAGACCCTGGACCGGGATGGGCAGAGGATGGGATGGGAGATTACCTACTCTTCGTGACTTTCTCTTGGGCTTTCGGTTTTTCTGTGCGAAAGTGGCTAGTTCGCTCCGCAGAGCGCGGAGCGGTGCGCATCAGCCCAGCCTCAGACATTTTCAGGTTCCAAACGCGGGGGTCTTCGTTTCGTTTGTCTTGGTTCTGGCATGTTTAATCACGCAATTAGTAATCTCACTAATTATTCAGATAGCTGGCGTTTTGTAATCACTTTAAACCTGGGTCGGGAGTGTGATTTAAGAAACAAACAAACTCCCACAGACACAGAACTGAAACAAACCCATCACGTCAAGGATTTGAAATTTTAAAAACTCAATATTTGTTGGTCCCTCCGTCCAACCTCACCGCCTGCCAGACAATTTATTTAGCTTCGTAGATTGATCCCTCCTCCTTGTTTAGTTAATTCAACAAAGACTTTTTGCAATCTGTTTGGAGTTTGTCTGATACCGTGGAAAAGTAGCTGATGATTTATTTGGTTGCTTTTCGATTTCTGTCTTCAGCCCTTCTTTCTCCTCCTTTCAGCGGGGATGTCAGCTGTTATTACTTCCTATTGATCCCTTTGCAAAGTGAGAAGTGAACTAAAATTAATGTCAATTCCACTGCTCGGATCAATAGCTGGAGTTATTTTAATCTGGATTTGCACGAAGTGCTAAATTAAAAAAAATCAGCATAGAGGCAGAAAAGTAACAGTTACTTACTTTCCCTTTGCCCGGTTCTTCACAGTCACCCAAATGCTCCATCAAGCTGATTATCTTACAATCCATATTTTTTTAATTAAGAGGGTCAGTTAGTTTTCTTATTTTGGGTTCTGTGTTTAAACCCATGACATTTTGACATTGGGAGTGTATTAACTATAGATTTTCATAATGACTGTGGTCGGCTGAAGCCTCATCTATACAAGTTGTTAATGTGAAGAGAGGGTAAGAAAGAAAAGGGAAAATAAAAAAGCACTCCCCCCTCCTCTATAGAGACCAACGCCCACGCAGTGAAGTAAAAGAGATGTGGCCTGGAAAAATATTGTTGATTTATCTTCAGTGTAATGAAGTTTTCAAATGAATAACCAGGGTTGAGTGATTCACCGGGTTCTGTTGGAGTGTCCGGTGCTGTCACCAGATTACTAATTTATGAAACTCATTTAAGATAATGAGGTGATCTAGGAAGTAAAAATAGCAAGTGAATGGGGGGGTGGTATTTTGAGGGGGAAACATTCCTCCCTTCACACTCAGTGTTATGTTTGCCTCCTATAATACTGCTTGTTGATAGACAAGTAGCTCTTTCTGTTGTGAAGAGCTGCCTAGAACCCTTGGAACAGCCCTAGACCTACTTTCAGAGCATCCATGTTGTGTGACCATTAATCTGACTAGAAAACAGCCAAGAACAGGATTCCCAGACTTGTCAGGCTGACTGGCTGTCCTTGGCAGATCATTCCCTGCACTGCTATAACTTGACAGGAAAGTTATTTAAAATTTGGAAGAGAGAAAAATCCGTTAATGTGAGATACATAATCTGGTAATTTAGCAATGATGTCTATAAGGAAAGATGCCAAATGAGGAAGCAGTCTGATGGTGTCCACTCATCTTCCCAATTAATAACAGTCATTGACACGTCTGCTACAGGATGGGAGAAGGAAATACTCTCTTTGCACTGCATTAAGCCAGGAGGATTCATCTACTGTTTAACTGAGGTTTCTCTATTTGAGGGAATACCAAAGATACTCCAGGTAGACTTTTTAACAGGGAGGAGATAGATTTTATTTCTGATAGGACTCTCAATTTAAAGGTTATAGTTTGTAGCAGATGGTGATTTTTTGGCTATGCTTCGGGTTTCATTAAGTTTCTGTTTCATGTATATTTTTGATGCTAGTAAGTCCTGGCATTCATCTTATGTTGTCCTGGCTTTTGATATATAGCCCTTCTCCCAGCCCCCACTCAAAATACATTTTGGAATGGAACCAGTGACTATGAAAATGTACAACCTAAATTTACAAGGGAGACTGAAAGAAGTCTCTCTGAACTCCAATTTGTTCCGGAGGCCTTTATTGGACATCAGCTCTGACTGGGCCAATAAGCAGAGCAAAATAAGTCAGAAATTTTGTTAACATTTTGTTCTAAATGTTAATGGCAAATGCAAGGCAGTTTACAAATCTACTTAAGAGTGAGTGCATTAGTAACTAAAATTACCGATCCGTTCTTTGCTGCCCCTTGGAAGACAGACGCTTCTAGAGACCGTATGCCAAAGGCACCCATTATGGTTTTAAATATTGTCAGAGACGCCAGGCATTTTATTGATGAAGGTTTTGTTCCTTCTCAGAAAAGAGAAATAGAAAGCCCATGTGATTAGAGAGGGGTGTGCATCAAAAATAAATGTTAATGCTGTTTGTTCACATGGCACTTTTTTCTGGAAGCAGTCTTAGGTGATGCATGAAGATGTGTGTGTGTGTGTGTGTGTGTGTGTATTTGTCAATGTGTATCATTTATCCATGTGTATACTTTGTACCAATTAATATGTACAAGTGTTCCTGGTCTAGATGAACTTGAATTAGGGATATTTCAGTATTAGGGCGTTGTTAGGGGAGATGAAGAGAGGCTGCATATGTAGGAAATCATATAGGTAGAATCTGGTCTCTGAAAGTCAGGCCTGCTGTGAGTGGTGGATGCAGGTGGAAGCCCTTTAAAATATAGACCCCTACTTAATCTACTGGATGACTTGGCCTTCCAAAGCTCATTTGTTCAGGGAATATTGTATTTGGAGGTTTTATGATATTTTTTTCTTTGCTGGGCTCAGGCGCATTTCACCCGGAACGTGTAGGGACCAAAGTCAGCTACGCGTACATCACAGTAAGTTGTCTATTGATTTTCCTGAATGAAAATGGTCTGATGCTGCTGCCCACTGGCTCCTAAAGCCTGTGGTGTCTCTTGCCCGAGCATCTGTAAGCCATAAGGATGGTGCTTCAATCACTTGGGGTTTCCCTTTTTTTCCTCCCCCCTGACTTTCCTCCCCCTTCTTTTTTTCTCTTTGCTTTCCACAGGTCTTAGAAGGGAATGATTCCCCAGTAATATTCCCTGCCCTGATCCAAAGTGCTGCTTGGCCTCCCTCCCAGGGAAGACTGCTTCTTGTATAACGCCGGCCACAGAAAGAGACTCCGATGGACTTACACCGGGCAGCCTTCAAGATGGAGAACTCATCCTACCTTCCCAACCCTCTGGCATCCCCAGCACTGATGGTCCTGGCATCCACGGCTGAGGCCAGCCGTGATGCTTCCATCCCTTGTCAGCAGCCACGACCCTTTGGTGTACCTGTCTCAGTTGACAAGGACGTGCATATTCCTTTCACCAACGGTTCCTATACCTTTGCCTCTATGTACCATCGGCAAGGTGGGGTGCCAGGCACTTTTGCCAATCGCGATTTCCCCCCTTCTCTACTACACCTCCACCCCCAATTTGCTCCCCCAAATCTAGATTGCACCCCAATCAGTATGCTGAATCATAGCGGTGTGGGGGCTTTCCGGCCCTTTGCCTCTACCGAGGACCGGGAGAGCTATCAGTCAGCCTTTACGCCGGCCAAGCGACTTAAGAACTGCCATGACACAGAGTCTCCCCACTTGCGCTTCTCAGATGCAGATGGCAAGGAATATGACTTTGGGACACAGCTGCCATCTAGCTCCCCCGGTTCATTAAAGGTTGATGACACTGGGAAGAAGATTTTTGCTGTCTCTGGCCTCATTTCTGATCGGGAAGCCTCATCTAGCCCAGAAGATCGGAATGACAGATGTAAGTACTTTGGTTCGAGCCCTCCCTTACCCCTAGTAAGCCTTGCCTCACTGTGGCGTTCAACAGGTCGGTGGCGTTTTGCTCGCTCCTAGTAATGGGAAGGGCCAACTACTTCTCTTTCGCTAGCTGTGGAGTGCTAACCTTTGCTTGTCTCTCATCAGTGAGCACTGATAGTTCCTGAAATGTTTTTCTGAAGGAAGCCAGAGGCAAGTTGGCCCCAGCACAGCCCTTCTCTCTGGGCTTATTCTCCGAGCACTCTGGAGCCAAGAGGGGTGCCCCAGATGTACTGGAGTGAATGGCATTTCATTAAGACGTGTAGGCTCCTAGGGAATTTGGGGGACCTAAAGAAACATGTCCACCCCTCCTCTCTTTGCTGTCCTCATTATGTTTGTCTGATCTCAGTGTTATTTTTTAGCTTTTCCATTGTATCACATCCAGCAGACTCCACGTGATTATATTTTCACAACTCTCAGCCCTTGTCCACATCAGGCTATTTTTCAGAGAAGGACAAAGGTGTCGTCAATCACCATAAAGCATTTCAAACAGCTGTGTTTTCCTTGCGATTGCAATGCTAGAAAGCTGACTTCTCTGGGGATTTCACAGGTTTGCTGGATGCTTATCCTGGGGCTCACTTTTAGGACTAGACACGGTTGACCTGTGTGACTGCTCCATATTTGATGTTCACAACTATTATTAATTTCTGCTTATGAAACAGCTTTTTCTCATGTTCTCCAAGTGCCTTGTTGGGCTCTGGCTACACTTACTCATAGCTGGAACTAAACCTTTATTTGGAACTTGTAGACTGGGAGTGCTGAACCCTGCAATCTTTTGCTCTGATATAATCAGAAAATAATTGTGTTTTGAAGCTTTTGGGCTGTGGGTAGACAGAGCAGTTTTCTTCAAGCCTGGTGAGAATTTATGAACTGAGGGTGTTTTTTCCACCCAACCCTTTGTTCTCAGATTTGCTTCATTTTATTTTCTTAAGAAAACTACATCTGAGGTTCGCCTTCTCCTCTTCTGTATTTTTTCGTGCTCCCGTCCTCTCTATAACCACCAACACGAATACCATTTTTTTCCCTCCTCTTTATGATGCCGAGGAGAGTAATAGAGACATTGCAGCTCTCTCCCCTGTCGCCACTGCTTCCTCAGGCTGTCTCCTTGAATTAGGCACTGTGTTAACTTTCCTGCGCTAAAAGGCATCTGCCTAAACCCAGCGTACCTTTTCAATAAAAGTCATCATAAAATCAACCTGCCTTGTAAATCCATCGCTCTTTGGTTTTGAAATATGTTGCAAGTGTGTCTTTTATGTCAGCGTCTGTAAGCCAGAGACCTCCCCACTTAAGGCAGAAGGCTGCTGGCTGACAGCAGCACTGCTAGTGTTGCTCTCTCACTTTGGCTTTGGCTCTTTTTCACCTTTTCACTTTCTGTTGACTCGTGTGTCTTGTGATCTTGCTTCTTGGATATACCTGCTGAACAGGTATCGGCATTGTGTTGGTCCGTTTTATTTTATTTTAGTTTTCGTTTGTCCAGCGATGTGCAGGTGATCAAGGCTAGTTGTAATGTGACCTCCAGCTAAAACTGCCTTGTGTTTGGGTGTGACAGATTCTGCCTCTTCTTTTTCTCCAAATACAAGTTGAAAATGAAATCCTCTCATAACTAATGTGCCACAAAGTCACATCTGGAGATCGAGATCCCTTTCTTCCTACCTAACACATCCAGCTTGTCTCCATTTTTCTATCTTTTTAGCCCAAACCTGTGTCAGACTCCAGAGTGGGAGGAAGCTTGTTAGTCAAGTCAGAACTCATAGACGTGGATATCCATTCCCCTCTGAGTGTCAAAGCCATAACTCTTCTGTTTGCCTGGTTTGCATTGTGTGGTGGTGGCATCCCCCATGGAGATGGATCCCTCACACAGGAATACGCCTGGGTGGAGAAAAATTAAATGAGTCTGTCTCCCAAAGTGAAATGGAATTCTGACCTTGAAATTAATGATATTCTGATCAGAAGGGTGGGGAAACTTCTTTATTTCAAATATAGTGTTATATAAATTGGAGTCCTTTCCTCTTTTATGCATTTAAAATCTTCTTCCCTTATAGAGTACCTTGTGTTACACGAGCATAAAACCTATGGGAGTGTCTGTGAGGGGAGGGTGTTTGGACACCCACGTTATAATCCAGAGTTGCATTTGTGACTGATCTTTAATAAGAAACAAAGGTGCAAAGTGAAAAGGAGGCTGTGGTACCTGTGATCACCCTGAATTTTTGCCCTTTCCTCCTTTTCTTAGCTTCGGTGGTTAGCACATCCCTCACTGGGTCACACTGGATAGCATTCATGCTTTGATTGTGAATTTTTGGAAGGCAGGAGAAGTATTTTTCTGTAAGGAAGGGTTGAAGAGGCACTAAGACAAAGTCTGCCGCAGCTTTCTTGGCTCCTGTCATATGCCGACGTGTGTCGGAATATTTATGGTCTGTTTTATGTAAATACATATTTAAGGGCCGTTAGAAGGCCTGATTATTCCCACTAGATGCCTTTCAGGTCCTCCCTACAGAACCGTTTTGAAATAAGTAATATTTCTCAGATAATCGAGTGACAGTATACAAGACTGCTTCCAAAGGGAGAGAGAGCTTCAGGGGCAGATGGGGGCAGTGACAGGGGATGGGGATATGAAAAGACAGAGGATTGAAAGTGTTCAGAAGAGCAGAGTGATAGGATACAGTGCTTTCGCCAGATTGCCCAAATTAACCATATATGATTAATAACACACACACATATGTGTATACATGTATATATATTCTTAAAATTTAGAGTTAATTTCTGATACGGTTGACTCATTTTTCAGTTCTCTTCATATAAATATCTTTTCATAAAGATTGTTTAAATGTTTTAATTAAATGCAGCAATAAAAGTCCGAAGTAAAGCATTTGGCTTTAGAGCTTTGTTGGTGGGTGGGGGCAGGGGGCAAGTAGTATGGGGGTGTGTGTCCTTTACTTAGAGAAGTTTTTATCACTGAGTTTTAGGTCATTAAGAAATCAGTTGTATAATGGAAACACTGACAGTTTTTACTGTTGCAGCCACCCCCCCCCCCACTCACACACTACATCAATATGCAGATGTGTCCACTCGTGAGCCCACTGGGAAAGAGGGGCCTGCAGACATGGTGTAATGCATACATGTGCTTTCCTTAAATCTGGGTACTGGTAGGCAGGATTTCTTTTGTGATTAAATATACATTTTTGTAGACAGAACTATAGCGATTTGGGTCAAGTATCATCTTTCCTGGTAGATGATTCCAGTTTGCTTGCCTGTCCATTCACCTGGCTTCACAGGTGATTCTGAGGTAGGTGTTGGGCTCTATAGAAAAACAAGCAGCCTTTACTCTACAGGATTGACTTACTTGCCCGGGAGAATGGGAGAAGTGTTTTGTGAGAAGCCATTCATGGAGGATGCATAATTTCCCAGGAACGGGACTGAGGTAACTCCTGTTTATTGTCACTCCCTGAACCAGTCCCCAAGGCCCCTTGTCCAGGGAAATAATGCTAAAATTTATGGACCAATTACAAATAGTCCACGTGTGCCTTACATATGAAGTATCTACAGTGATGTTTCCCAGGGCCTTTAAAATAAACATTTCCTCATTAAGGAAACTTTACAACAAAAGGGAAGATAAGTATTGTCTGCTGCCTTGTGTTAGAATCTGTACATTTATGACCCCCTTAGCTCCTGTCATGTGCATTTCCTGATGGTTCTCTTCAGGCTGCCCCTGTGCCCAGATTCCTGCCTGTGTGACACAGTCTTTGGCCAGCCTGCCAGCCTATCCACTCAGCCCAGATTGGAGTTGACTAAATATGCATGCTCACCGCAGGGCTGAGAAGAGGGCTCAGAACTGCCTATGTGGAGCGACGACTGGCCCTGCCTTCTGGCTTACCCCAGGGATGGACACTGGACACTGACCATAAGTGGCTTGGCTTTGCCTTCTTTCCTTGACCTTCACTGTGGTGGGGCAGAGTCACAGGTGGGCAGGAAACCTGATGGCTCACAGCAGCTCCTGAATGTTCTGCTTCACTCTCATCTTTGATCTACCCGAACAGCCATTCTTGAGTTCCAAAAAGGGCGAGTAAGAGATGGTATTTTGTACTCTGAGATGTGTGTTTATAAAGGCATGTATCATTGAAGACCCTGTGTTCTAACAAGCAAATCAGCTGAGCCCACCTAGCCAAAGGCAGCCTGGAATGGGGAGGGCTGGGGTGAAGGGGGAAACTTTCCAAGGGTTCTGGGACTGGGGTGGGCAGGGACTGTACTCTGGGCTTTTAGGAGAGTTGCTCTTGCTAGGGAGAATGTTTGGGGCATGCCAGGTGGCCAGGCTGCACCTCTGGGCTGCAGCTGGGACAGGCGACCACTGGGAAAGGCTCAGCGCCAGAAGAGCTGGGTCAGATGGTTCCCTCTGCCCTGACTGCCCAGACCTAGCTGCCTCTCCCTCAGCTGCTCCCGGGTTCTCCCCCGCTCCCCGGGAGTAAGAACTCCTGTGATGTGTGTGGTTGTTTCTGGTTGTTCACTCCCAACACAGTCATGGAGACTCCTTTTCATGCTGCTGGGTTTAATTGTCTTGTTGGGATAAAAAAATGTTTGCACAGCTAAAGTGGGGCCGGGCTGGACGGGAGCAGTCCCTGATGGCTGCAGAGCCATCTGGCCTGGCTTGGCTTGGCTCGGCGCGCCGCTCTCCCGGCGGCTGGGCTGGCTCTCGCGGAGCTCCCGCTCTTCCCCTGTCCTCGCCCCGCGCCGCGCCGCTCTGTGCGGCGGCTGCCTCCTCTTACGGCCGGAATGCCTAATCACCATGGTGAGAAAACGGACACCGCAGCCGTCCTCCCTCCTCGCCCCGCGCCCTCCCTCCCGCCAATTGTCATGCAGAAGTGATCCAGGCTGCCGTTTCCTCGCGGTCGCCCGCCAGCCCTTGGCCGCTCCCGGCAGAAGGGTGGCTGGTAATTGATCGTCTGGGGGAGGGGGCGCGGAGAGGCGCGAGGACGGGTCCCGGGGAGGCCAGGCCACGGAGCTGGCCCCGTTCGCTCACTTGCAAGGGACCCCCCAGCCTCCGCCACCGAGGCGGCTCGCAAGTGGTTTCAGAAATGCTGGTGATCTCGCCGTCGCTCTGCCGCACTAGGAGGCCGCGGCGGGAATCCGCGCGCCGCCCCGAGGGCCGGGAGCGCCCCCCGCCTCGCCCTCCAAGTCCGCGCGCCCCCAAGTCGCACTGAGAACCCAGTCCCCGATCGGTTTCCTCTACACCGTCTGAGCAGAAGAGAGTGGGGACCGGGGTGAGGGATGGGGGGCGCCCACGCAACGTCGGGGTGCAGGGTAGCGCGCGGGAGGCGCTAGGGGGTGCACGCGGCGTGAGGGGGACACAGCGCGGGCGCGGGGACGGCCACTGCTCGGGGAGGGTTCTGGGTGGGGGAGCAGGGCGCGTGGAAGAGGGAGGATGGACGTGTGCACAGCGCCTGGGGACCTCGCTGGCCCCTCGGCGTCCCCAGAACTCTGAGGTTTCTCCTTTCTGCTCAGAATGTTTTTCCCTTCCTGCTTGTCAAATCTGCAAAAATGTTCCGGGGAATGTTTCCCAAGTCCAGGGCGCGTCCTTCGGCGGGATTGCTGGCATTCGGGCGAGGCGAGTCGCGGTGGCCTCTGACGGTCTGAGGCTCGCAGCCAGCACAGCGGGGCCCGTTAAAGTCCGGGCAATTTCTGGAACTCTTCCCACGGGAAGTTTTCCGGGGCTGCCTTCCGGTCAGCGGCCCCAGGTTGATTATTTGGTGGCCCTTTTTTGTTTGAAAACAAAAACAAACCACACATTGTATCCAAATAACAAAAGTTGCTGTCCCTCCCCACCCCCTTTCCTCATTAGGCAGGGAAGAGGAAACTGAAAAATAGAATTATATTTTTATATTGCTTTTATTTTTAACCCTTATTAACTACATCCATCTGGTTAATAAATATTAGCACATATTGAAATGTATTCGTTGTAAATAACTGAGGTTTGGAGTGACAATATATCTAATACAGTTATATTTTTATAATGGTTTTTCATACTTTTAACTCTTATTGACCACATCCATGTGGTTAATAAATATCAAAGCACACGTTGGGCCATGCTCTTTATAAATACTTGAGATTTGGAGTGATGGTACATTTCATAGTAAAATCCACAGGATTTTTAAACACCAAAATAGCAATATTGTTTGGACTTGCATATTTGCTCCTAAGAGTTTAACCACATTTCAGCGCCATTTTATCCTGTCTTAAAGAGAGATGAACTGCAGACTTAAGGATAATTTATTGCTACATATCAGCTAAATTTTAAGTGCCATTTAAATTGTGGCATGTGTGGTTGAACAGAATGTGTTGTTATCCTTTGTAACTTTACATGTGTGCTCCAGGGTAGGAATTCGTAAGTATCTTTTTCTTTGCAGCAAGAAAGAGAATTTTCTGCAAAAGAACTTTCTTTCTTACGCCTTTTCCAGGAAAAGATCCTGGATTGGGACTACATGTTGGGCCTGGAGAAATGATAAGCTGTGATGTGAATCAGAACACCTGGTACATGCTTAGTAAACAGATGAGATTCATCATCTTCCAGCCTTACCCAATGGATTGGACCTTTCTGTTATCTTAATCACACTACTTTAGCTTTAATGTTTAAAAAAATTATTTTCTTGCCTGGTGCCAATCATATAAAAGGGTTTAGTATTCATTGCATATTGAATACTGTAATGGTGGTGATTGTAATCTAGTTTTTACTTTAAGTTTTCATGATCTTGCCACTCCTCAGCATTGCACTGGACAGTATCTGTAAGACTATGTTATCCCAAAGGTGCAGAGGAAAGAAAGGAAGAACTTACTTATACCTTGAGGTTTCATAATGGCCAAGGTAGGGAGGGAGTTTTCCAAAATTTTGTGAAATCACCTTTCTCAAATATAGACTTATTTGATTGATTACTTGGGATACTATTAATACAAAATCATTTATAACTTAAAAAAAATTAAGTCTACTTTTTTTTTTCCTAACCCTTAGAAACCTAAGATTGGAGTCTATCCCCTTTCCAAATGTTTTCCCACAGCATTACATCCTCTGTCATGGAGTCCACAAATACGAATCTGCTTTTGGTGTGTATTTTAGAAAAAAGTTTCTACCTAGATCCTGGTCGAAGTTGGAAACAGTCAAGTGATATGGAGGTAACCGTCCGGCAATTCAGATATGTGGCTGTCAGTTTTCTCTGTGGAATGTGTTCTGGTTGAAGATGACCTAGAGGAAATGAAAGTTGTGTTTTTGCTGGGGAGACGTGGTGCCGCGTCCAGTACATTCTGTTAACAGATCCGAAGCTTTAGGAAAATCTGGAGCTATATGAGTGAAGAAGGAACCTTTTGGTACAGTCTCATGAGAAATCAAGCCCAGTAAGTCTGAGTGTGACTTACCAGGCAAGAGTTGTCTTTTTCCACTGAAATTCATGTGCAGGCTGAGACTTATGGCTTTACATCCATCTTAGTGCAGCAGAGACAGAAAGCTGTAGGGAGGGGTAAGGGCCAGCCCTGGAGAGACCTTCGCTTTATTTTCAGGTATATGATTCCCATTTAGGTGCCAGCTAATCCTGTATTGCTCTCATTTGACCTTGCTTCTGGGGGTTTGATTTAAAGTAAGTCAGTGGCCTAGCATGATAAATACCTGTTAGAGGAATAAAAGCTATATTTGCCCCTTTGAGCCTCAACTTGAAGGTGTTTCAGATCAAAGGTGGGGAGGCAATATAATATAGTCATTACGAGTTTGGCCTCTGGAGTTAAATCCTGACCTGTTAGCTTACTTGCTTTCTGATACTGTGCAGATTACCTAATCTCTCTGGGCCTTAGTATTCTCACCTGCAAAATGGGAATTGCATAAACTAAAGGGGTTGTTGGGAAGGACTGAATGAGATTAAATACACAGATAATGCTTAGAAAGGTTCCTCACACATACTAAGTGTTTGATACTTAGTTACTATTTTTTCAAAGACAATCTGGTCCTATAACCTTCCCTGTTAGAAGCACTGATGTAGCCAAACACAGTGTCATTAACAACTAGCAATGTTTGTAGGGTCCTTTCACACACTCATGCCTTATGTCAATGTGGAAAGAGGGAGAGAGAAAGACTCCAAAGCCCTTTTCTGTGATGGCCAGCTGCTTCTCCTGCTTTCATTATTATCCATCCACCAGGATTAGCCCTGGTGTCCCCCTGACCTCTTTCTCCCTTGTTTATTTAGAAGCAAGGTAATAGTCAAGTTAGAGAAACTGAGTCTGTGAGTCGGGAGAGGACTTGACTAGGGTTGGAGATCTAGGCAGGGGCCCGACTTAGAAAAGCCAAATCTCATGGTATTTCCTTATTCTGAAATTTTGTCTTACTGGCTATTGTTTGAAATCAATGTGTTATTAGAATTTGTGTGTGATAGAGATTTGGACTACATGTAATGAGATTTGCTGTAATGGTATTTGACTAGTATTAGAATTCACAGTCCCTGGGTTTCTTGTATGTCCTTAGATTTTAAGTTATACAGACACTTTTACCCTCTTGCCCATGTGAGACAAATCTGTGAACCTTCCCCCATCTGTGTGTGTCACAGTCCCACAGCATGATGGATTGTCTCTGCTTGGGGGAGGCTTAGGACGGGGCTTGAAGGGGCCTTGTAGGTCAGAAGAGAAATACAGCAGCAGGACTGAGATGGGGGGGCTGCCTGGGGAGGGATTAGCAGGGGGAAGGGGAGGGCAGCGTTGGGCGGGGCATAGTGTCTGTGTGCATTCTCCTAGGAGTAAAAGAGGGCTGTCCATTACCCTGAACGCACAAATAAACTCAGTGTTTTTCTCTTTGTAGAAAAAATGCCCCATGGGACTTGGGACTACCAGAGAATGACTGCATGTCAGTGGGAAAGGTGGGGAGTAGGAGGATGGGAGTAGGGAAGACTGACCCTGTGCCTGAGGACCTTGGATTTGAGTCTGTTCTTTAAATAGAGTAGCTCATATTTGAAGAGTCTCATGCCCACACATGTTTGTAGCAGAAATAGCCACTGGAGGCCAGTCATCTGATACTTCAATCTCTATCAGCTCCTTCACTGCTCCATTTAAAGAAAGGAGTTCAGCTCACCTTTGGAAGTAAAGTGTCTCTGAAGGTCATGGAGCACCCAATTCTGCTCCCTCTCTGTCCCCAGCCCTTCCCACATTTAGTCACAAAAGTGTGTGCTAGGTAGGAAGGGAAATGCTGAATGTTCTTAATCTTTGGTTCTTAAAGAAGGGGAGAAAGTCTGGGATTTAGGCCCAAATGCCAAAATCATGGTTCAGAAGGAATTCTAGAAAAGGAGCGGAGCCTGAGAGGTAGCTGGAGAGGTAAGGGCAGTAGCGCATGCTCGGCTGAGGAATCAGCAGGACTGCAGTTAGGGCCTCAGCTTCAGCTTCCTTCCTGAGCAGTAAAATTAAAAAAAAAAAAAAAATCCTTAGAACAACAAAAGTCTGGACGCATGGGCTTCCTTCCTGACAGGCCAACCTGGTGGGGCTTCATTCAGACTGAGCAGCAGTCAAGGCTGATTTACGGGTAAAAGAACCCAGACATGGGTTTAACCCTTTCCCAACCACGGAGATGCTTCATTGCAAAGGCTGCCTCCTTCTTCTAACTTACCATCCAGGTGTGGGGAAAGTTTTATTGTCATTTCTTCCTTATTTAAAGAGAGTACCTGCTGTTAAAGTGCCTGTGTTCTCTTCATGAGAAAGCTGAGCCTATGAGAAGTTGAGTGACTTGTAAGAAACCTTACTTACCATCAAGTCCTGTGTCTCAGGCTCTTGATGACATTATATTGACTCTGCAGTATTGAATCCATCTTTGATCATGGGAAGTGCTTCCTGGAGTCTGTATTGGGGTGCTGCTGTAAGCCCCAATTTTACCTCTGTAAGATACTGGTCCCACAGAAGGAATAGTACTGCTTTGTCTTAGCTGTTTGTTGGTGGCAGTGGATAAAACTGTGTCAGAGTTTTATCACGAGACATGACTCAGTTGCCATCATTGGTCAAATATGATGCACTCATCAGTTCATTTAATCATTCAGCTGTACTTACTGTGTACCTACATTGTTTCAGGCACGATGCTAGGTACTGGGGATAGATTGATGTGCAAGACAGATGATAGTCCCTGCCTTACTGGACCTCAAAGTTTAGTTAGCAATTGCAGGATTCTGGGAAAGTGCTGTCATAGGGGAAATATAACAGGCCATGAGACTTAGAAGTTGGAGCATCTAATCTTGTCCAAGAGTCAGGGATAGCTTTCTGGAGCAAGTGAACTTTAAGCTGATACCTGAAAATCAAGAAGGAGTTATTGATTAAAAGAAGCTAGGTGTAGCAGTTTGCTTTTTTGGACAAAGTATAGTATCTGAGAGTGGAAGAAAGAACTCCAGAGCTGCCAAGGATTGCTCACAATAAAGTGAAAATAGCATTGTTTCCTGCCAGGGCCTGAGACCTGACCTTGGATCTCTCTGTAGCACTTCATCCTATAACCAGGCATTCTTGAGAAAGTCCATTTGGTGCTTATGTGGCTCTGGGGCTCATCATCAACTGGGGTCCTGCTTTTAAAGCAACTTTCTAAAGATAAGTCACTAGAAAATGCTTTCTGATGACATATGCTATTTTAACCACCCGAGGACCCATGAGCACCCAGAACCATGTTTGGCAGAGTAGATACTCAGGAAATATTTGCTGAATGAAGGAGGGCCGTTGCCCTGCTGATGTTGAGTGAGGTAGATTAAGTGTCCTCATCTTTTTACTAAAGTTCAGGCTTAGCCCTATCCTTTGCTCTACCCGGAAACGTGACAGGTCTCAGGGCCTAGAGAGTACTCACTTGGCCATTAAACTAAGCCACATAGCACCCGGGATTCTTGGCAGAGTTTCTTGGCAAAGTTTCCTCTGGGAGGTGCATTGCTCAGGCTTGACTTTCACAAGGGAGGTTAGGTGTATAATGCCAAGAGTATTGAAGAAGGAAAAAAAGAAGGCGAAGCAAACCGTTGTTCCAGCCTGGCACACGGCGGCATGCTAAAAACAGTTCCTTCCAGCCAGGGCCTCTGTACTCCACCGTCCCCGCTGTGGTTTTCCTTCCCTGGCCTCTTATCTTCATCATTGCTCTACATCCAGAACATTTCCTGAGCTCCTATGTGTAGAGCGTTGTACTTGGTGCTGTTTGCAGGGGAATCAAAGAGGCAGGAGACAATACTTCCTCTTCTTGACAGCCTTATGGTTAAGGTGAGTAGCTAAACTGTATATATGGAAAAGAAATGATAATGTAAAGTAACAGATAGTAAGGCCACTAGGATTTCGAGAGAGAGTCATCCCTAAGGCTGGCTTTCCCAAAATGGGATCTAAAGACTGCCTGCTTCAGATCACTTGTGGTGTGGTGTTGGTAGTGGAGAATGGGGACAGGGATGGGGGTGGGGTGAAGAATGTTATTTATAATGCAGATTCCCAGGGCCTACAACTTCGTACTCAGAATCACAAGGAATGCAGCTTAGAAACTGTGTATTTAGCAAGCAGCCACCCTCAGTGATTCCTGTGCTCCTTAAGGTTTAGGAATCACTCTTCTGGGATTTAGGAATCACCCTTCTGGGGTGAAAGTCTCAGGGGAAGATTTCGCCAAGGAGTTTGGCCTTGCGGAAAGAGGAGTGAGGACTGGGGGGAAGAATGGAAGAGGATGGAGGCCCGCTGAGGAGTCTGGGCAGGCAGGGGAAGGGTGAAGACCCAGGGTCTGCTCACAAACAGTACTTTTCTCATCCAGCCTCCTGTCTGGAGGAGGATCTGTCCACCTGTCCCAGCTCCCTCTCTGCCACTGCTCCTCCTCAGATTGCCTCCCTCTGCCTGTCTTATTGCTGATCAACTGACTGTCTGTGCCCAGGCTTCTCCTTCTTGGTGCAATATTATAATTATGAGGTGGCCCAGCG